AAATATTCATTGATGGGTGTAGAGTTAGAGAACTTTAAAGTGATAGGTTAAAGTCTCAAACTTGGTTTATTGTTTTAGTTTCTGATACGAGAATGTTAGCCCCGAGGTGGAGGGAATCGAGGGAACTCTAAAGAGAGAGCTAGTATCTTCCCTGCCTAACCGGTTTTCAGAACTATTCAAACTTTAAATTAGCCAATGTTTTTTATAGCATCTCTAGTAAAGGTAAAGAATATTATTGCTCCTATTTGGCACAACACAATTTGCATACTTCCACAACATAATTCCTATACTTATTAATGATTCATGATAAGAAGAACGATATTTTCATATTAAGTATTTTTCTTCTACAAAAACTTTAGTTATCTTTTTAAGTTGTTATTGTTTCATTAAAATATTAAAAATACCAAAAATATTTAAATTTTAAATTTCTACAAAAATCATTTTTATTTTAAGTAATTATCTTTTTAAAAATAGAAAAACTTTCTAAAAAGTGTATATTGCATAATCTTACCTATGGGTTCGATATTCAGCTCTTAATCAAAAAGTCCTATATTACTTGATAACGATCTGTATACTTGCGTAGTATCCCAATATAAATATATATAAATTAAAATTTTAAATGTTTATTTTTCTTCAGGATCAATTTTTTGGTTTTGTTGCAAAATAAGGAAATATAAGTAAAAAATACCGTTAGAACTATTGCTATACTGTGCATAAGCTTTAAGTTTGTGTACCAGTCATTCAATGTAGACATGCATTAAAATAGGTCAACGAAAATCATAGCAAATCCTTAATCTTACTCATTAAACATGGTCGGATAAAACCCATTATACCTCAACCGCAAAACAAAATCATTGGCACAAAGCCATGTCGGATGAATTCTAAGCACTACATTGTTAAGGTACGCGTACCCTTATTCCCCCATCACTTCACCAAATTCTTCCTAGGTGTAAGTAAAAATACCACACCAAATACAATTATGATGGCTCCATCGCTCACTATAAAGCACGCCTTGTTGCATAAGGCGTCAATCAGCAACCCGACCTTAACTTCATTGAGAAGTTATGTCTGGTTGCCAAATTATCTACTCTTCATATTCTCCTTACAATTCTCATCGCTCACAATTGGCGCACCTTCAACCAGATGCGTCCAATGCATTCTTGTATGGACACCTCAACGAAACTGTGCATATGACTCAAACTCATAGGTTTGTGGATTTCTAGCATCCTTACAATATTCTCTTATTAAAGAAATCTTTATATGGCCTTATGAAAGAACCTCATCGGTGGTTTGCTACTCTCTTTACCTACCTCATGTCTGTTGGCTTCAAACCTAGCAAAGTCAACCCCTCCTTATTCTACTTGCACTCGCCTCTATATGCTTATATATGTGGACAAAATTCTTCTCATTAGAACTAATCTTACTCTCGTACAAATAATGATTTATAACTTACAACAATATTTTTAAATGAACATCCTTAGCAATCTTTCTCAATTCCTAGGAATTACTACCATATCCACTATCTACAAACTCCACCTTAACAAAATAGATATCTTAAAAAAATCTATCATGTTGCAGTCCCCACCAATCATAAATCCCTGCTCACCTAAAACGTCTCTCAAACCACCTCCTTATATAAATAAATTGTACACTTAATAAAATACCTTACCCTCACTATGTCAAATATTACCTTACAACCAATCTGGCTTCTCAATCTATGCAACAATCTATTGTTCATCACTTTTAGCAACTCAAACGGATTCTACACGATTCAAGTCACGAAAGAATTTGGTCTTCCCATCTATAAATCCTCTCTTAATCTCACATTATATGTCAATTCTGATTGGTTTGGGAACTCTTCTGACCATAAATCATTTACAGATTGTTGTACCTTTTAGCTCATCTAGAAACAACCCACTATTGCACTTCCCTTCACTAAATTTGAGTATCGAGCACTAGCCTCCACAACAAATGAAATTATTTGGTTAAGATGTATAATACAAGTCACTCCTTTTTACCATGATAACACCTCCATCATCATTCACACCAATAATTTAGCCTTCCACGCTAGTACCAAAAACATTGAATTTGATTGTCATTTCATCTCACATAACATCAATAATCAATAACTTATTTTTCATCATATCACCTCCCATGACCACATGGTTGATCTATTGACTAAAGTTCTCTCCAACTCAAGGTTTCAACTTATCAGATATAAGCTGACAATCTTACTTCGGACCTTCAACCTGTAGAGGAATTTTACAGCCAACTGAACAAAAAGATGCTACAACCAACTAAATTAAAATAATCAGTTGATAAGAAGTGTTGTCACTCAACCTGACAATTGAACCAAGATATGTTATAACCAACTGAACTAAAACAACCAGCTTATAACTGAAATAAGCTAGCCACTCCAACTATAGAAAGTCTTAATTGGATTTTTTATTTGTAATCAATATAGTCTCAACCATATATTATATTTTTTAACTCAACTAAACAGTTTTCTTTCTATTTATAAGCAATATAGCATTCTATCAATGTGTAAGATTTGGAAATACCCTTAACTTCTTCTCCTCCTATATGCTTTGTACAACATCAGCTTATTCTCAAATCTCCAATAAGAAATAAATTTTAGAACTTTTGCATGCAGGGGAATTCATGGCGGTAGAGATATACTAATGTGTTAGTATTGTATGAGAATTCATCACACACAAAAAAAGAAGAGCTGATATAGGAGACATTGTTTTCATTCATTTTCACTTTTATTATTGAAGGAGTCGTCAGCTTGTCTATTGTTTTATAATTTCCTTTTTTAAGTAAATCTCTCTTCTGAATCATATGAATGATTTAGAAAAGAAAGGAATCAGAAAAATAAGGGTTACAACAAAAGTAAACAAACAAGAAAAAGAACATGGATAACTTTCATAAATTAAAATTCATGAGATAAGCCAAAAGCATATGGACATAAGAGATCGGATTGAAATACTTTGGAACCTATCCGCAATGGCGACCCTATGAAAGAAACCCACAACTAGAGATACAAGTGTGTGTTTATTCTGGGGTAAATAGAAACTCTCAAAGGGACGACTTTGGTTAATTACATCTTGAAGGTGCCTAAGAATACACTTGATTAAGAGAATCATGCTTACAATTGTATAAAAACTAGTAAAAGGTGTCATAAAGGATGGTTATCTCGCAGGAGTGTCCCGATGCCTTTAAAGCTCGTGTCGATCAATACGGACAGAGAGTGAGTCCCTCAAGATTCCATACAGATGGTGGCTTATTGATGACCGGGGCTTATGAAATAACTGGGTCATCTCAATGGGTTCACACTATGGTTCCAATGTTTTACTAGACCATCATGATAGAGGGTGAATCAGCATATCCCAAATGGGTGATGGTCTATCCGCAATTAGATCCCATGGGATGACATCAACCAAGTGCAAAAGAGAGCGAAAGGGCTTAAAGTGGGCGAGCAAAGGAAGGTTAGAGTAATTAAGATACCACATATCTGTCATCCCAAGTTATTAGGACCCCGACTATCTAGTCGTAAAGGTAGTTGACCTAAGTAAACCAAAGATCCATTATCAGCAATCTGTGAATTGCATTGTTCAAGGAGATCTTAGTAGCCCTAAGGCCAAAGGAAGGAAACATTAATCCTATGACCCTTTATTGGTAGGAAGAGCATATGTAAACTTATACCTGCAAGAGAAGAGAGATATGGCCACAAGCCTGTGAGACTCTCATGAAGGAGTTACTCCATGTTTGGGTCGGGGAAGCTTCTAACACTCTAAGTGCATTAGACAACCAAATAAGTAAATATCTATGTTGGGCTAGTCGGGTTGGAGAAGCACGAGAACTTCTCATCGGGACGTGCAATATCATGCAGTTATCTAACCCTAAGGATGGTGGCCCTACTAATTATGACTCGGATTATGGTTATGCTATGCAACCCGTTTAAAATCTGGCCTAAAGACCGTGTAGAAAAATAAAGACAGATTTTGAAAAATCTGAAAATTTTTAATCGTAAATTTTAATTAGTCTTGAAACTTTTATTAGGATTTTATAGAAAATTCTTAAAATTTTAGGTCTTAAAGAGCCTAAGTGATCTGCACAATTCCCGGACAAAATCACAAGCCAGTAAGAAAGAAACTAGAATCACAGCTAGAAGCTCATTAACCCCTTTTATTCCTTAAAAAATAGAGGTTATAAGAGAGGGGAAGGAGAAAGAGATCTCGGGGCTGAGAGAGAAGAGAGACAAGGACCCTTTAATAAATGTCTTGGTTATAGAAGATAAAAGGAGAGAAATACATTATATTTTTACCCATAATTTAAGGAGGGTAATATGGGATATTTTCATCGTTTCCTCACCCCGATTTGGGCGGTGTTCACTAGCATGCTATTAATGATTAGCCACTAGCTTTAACTTAAATCCGGCCAAACATAAAAAATAAAAAAAAAAATCAAAATCCAATGCTCCATCAGAACAATTTTTTTCATGTTCTATTTGCTTTTCTCGCTTTCCATCTTTTAAAGACCATAAATCCGAATTTAATAAGTATGATTGCAAGCTGAATTTAAAGAATTATTCTGTTGTTTACTCGGGCTCCATTTTTGTCGTAGAGATTCATCGGATTTAATAGATCATATTTAACGTTTTGTTGTCACCAATCACGAGGAGGTGGTCAACCAAGGTGGTCGGCCGACTGGTGGAGGTGGAGGCCAAGTGGTCAGCCGGCTAGTGTTGGTGGTGGCCAGGCTTGTGGGCCGGCCCAATGTGGCCGATCGACTGAAGGTTTCCGGCCCAAATTGACGCCCAGCTGGAAGCAGGTGGCCGCCCCAAGTGGTGTGAAAATGATCGCCGGCACGACTCTCACGGCGGTTTGTTCGGCCCGACAAGGGCGATGACATTTTCTTTTAGACATAAGGACATAAATATAGAAAATATAACTTCAAGAATTTCTAGCAAGACTTGTTTAATAGGGGTTTTTACATGCATCGCACTCTAATGAGTGATACTTACATATCCCACTCTTTAAAGTTTCTATTTACATATAAAGCACTTCAAACATTTTTAAAATTCTAAAAAAGCACACCGTTAAGCTACGTTCCATCTTTTCGCACTTGCGAACTTCTCTTCTTCGGTGCTGGCGAACTCCTCTCTAGTCCTCAAAGCTTACCCTCTCCAATCCCGACTCCAAATAAGTAAATAACAGGGAAATATTGGCTCACTTTCAAGATCTATGTCTCATCCATGAACGGCCATCTGCAGCACCTCTGCCATGGCTTGCCAATTAATGTTCATCTTATTCTTCTCCAAAAAAATTTTAAACCCAGAGCTGAAATAATTTCAAAGTGAGCCAACCTTTTTCTGTTATTTATTGAAGTGGAGTTGGAGCAGAGGAGTTCACAAGCACCGGAGAAGATGAATTTGCGAGCGCAAAGAGCAGGGGAGTTTGGCTTGCTCAGAAGGTAGTTTCGTGCAGTGGAGACGGATGGAGCCTAACAGAGTTCTTGTTTTGAGTATTGGAAAGCTTTGGGGTGCTTCATCTGTAAGTAGAAAGTTTAAAATGTGAAATATGTAAATACCAAACTTTATAGTGCTATGTTTGTTAAAATCCCTATTTTTTAACGGTCCTTTTGTTTCCGGGCGTTTAGCTTTTGATGCGTTGTTTTATGGGTTTGGTTTTTGAGAACATTTGTTGGTTGGTTTTTAGATTTTTTTTTACATGTGGTATTTTCCCAATTCAAATCTTACTCCTTGCTCGTCTCTTTTGTTCTGTTGAAACATCGTCTCTGGTGGGCCGCATCTTCGGCCATGACGGGAGGAAAAAAATCTACCGCTTTTACGCAGAGGGAAAAAAGTCTCAATACTTTGACATTTTCTATGTTGCGAAGGTTTTTCTCACAGAATTTCATCATACCAGGAAAATGGAGGCGTCCGTCCGTCAATTTGTACGACACCCGCTTCGTTTCATCGTTTATCCATGTACGGAATCGTCGGTGCAAATGTAGGATTACAATGTTCCCGGCGTTCGAGTTTTGGGCTAGAAAAAAAAATAGGTAGTTTCACTCTTGGATTCACGAGGGGAACTCAAAAGCTCATAATCCTATGAGGTTTCCTCTAAGCACAACAAAACCCTAACTAGTTCCTTTAGCATTCAAACTTAGAGACTCTAAAAAAAAGAAATCATAGGAGTTTATGAGAATTCTCACCGCCGTGAAGGTTGAGGATGCATTCTCTTTGCTTGTCCTCGCTCTAATGTTACTCCAGCGAAGCTCTGCTGAAATTTTCTCTGCTTCTTCTCCAAGGCATGAAGAAGCTTTCTCTAAAAGGAAAGTCCAACAAAGTTCTACGCTCTGATGAATTTCCAAGAAAGTTTCGAGCTTTGGTGAAGTTCTAGAAAAGTTCTGGCGCTTCTTCCACAAAGTATGAAGAAGCTCTCCTTTTTTGTAGGAGATATAATGCCTCCTTTGACCTCTCAAAGAAATTTCTCCTCAAGAAAGCCTCCCGCACAGTCAAGGAAAGTGGTGGAGGAAGAAGGAAAAGAGGAAAAGAGATCTCTCGAGGAAAAATAAAGAAAAAGAGGATGAAGAAGAAGAATAGGGTTGTAAGAAGTAGAGCCCTCTCTCTTTCCTTTCTTCCAAGCACTTTATCTCTAGGCCTCCAAAAGAAAACAAGCTTTGTAGAAAGAAGATGGCATGCTTTTCTCTTTAGGAAATCAGTTAAGGAGGAGGGAAACCCCAAAGGGAGAGGAAGAAAATTGAGGAAGAAGCGAAGAGAAGGAACAACACCCTCTTCCAAAAACCTAGCCTCCAAAGTTCTCCCCCAAAATCTGATCTCCCCTTTTTTTCTTTTTGGTTTTCCCCCTTGTAGTGGCTTAGGGCAAATTTTTCCCCCTAAATTCGGCTTCGAGGACCCAAAAAATCAAGATTTCAAAGAGGACTGGTGCCTATGCACTGGGTCTGGCGCCTATGTGCCACCCCTGGGTGCCTACTTTTTGTGTTATCAGTTTTAGGACGTTCCGAGGTTGTTTCGAGCTCTCAGGTTCCCAGACTGAAGCCTAGGAGCTGGGTTTTGCACATTGGCGCCGCCACCTCCAGCGCCTGCACCCCCTCCCCCCTCCTTCCGGCACCTACTTTACAGGCTCTCATATTTAAGAACCCTGGAGGTTGTTTCGGGTGCCTAGGCACCAAGACAAGCACCTAGCCACCAGAGGCTTGGCACCCTGTACTGGCGTTTAGGCGCATGTCTGGCTCGGTAAGCCCAGATTTTCACCGGAAATATTCGGTGAAAGACTTTTTCAATCCGTAAAGTATGCAAGCGTGTGTATAAATAAACTATAGTCCCATTACTTTAAAAAAAATCATTTTACATGGATATCACATCAAGGATCTTGATGTCAATAGATGTCCTACATTTCTTCTCGGGTATGGCATCCTAAACAATAATATTCATGAAAACACCTACTAGAAGTTTTGATGGGTTTCTTTGACAATGGAAGACTCCATATGAATATGTGATGGTCTTTAAACACCAGAATGGGCATTAAACGTGTCTCTGCTCATGAATGTTTCCACCCAATGGTGGAATCTCCCGGGCATGGTCAAATCATTGTAGGCCCTGCTTTCGTACTCTGAACATGCACTTTAAAGACTAAATGAATGTCTTGAGCTGCAAGACGCTGTGAATAAGCTGTAAATTAGCCTGAGTCAACCAAGTGGACACCCTACACACGTGAAATCAAAAATTGATATCAGCTGACACAAGGGTTCTTTTTACGTGGAAATTCTGAAAGAGTAAAATCATGGGGCATAGCCTAGTTGAAATGCTTCCACTATGCCAATAAAGGTTATAATGCTTTATTGTGTCTTGAATAACTTGAAATAATATTACACAAGAAGAGGTTGTTGATGTGACTTCTATTACTCGAGAGGAAAATATGTTGGGGAAGTGACGGTGACTCGACTGTTATAGAAGGAGACAGACGGTGGAGATAGTGTGTGAGAAAATCTAATTACAATGCATCAGTAGTGGTGGCCCGAAGCGGGGGCAACAGTGGTGGTTTGATGATGGCAATGATGGGGGCCGAGCAGTAGCAGTCCAATGGTTGTGGAGACTAGACCACGATGGCCTAATGACGGGGATGGTGATGGTAGGCTTTGGTGATTTTGTGGCGATGGTGGTAAGACCGTGGTGGTGTGGTGCAAGCAGTAACCAGACTATAGTGGTCCGGCAGTGGCGGCAACTAGCTGGCAATGGTCAAGCGGCACGACAGTGGTGGTTCGCAGTGGTGGTCCGGCGGTGGCGGTGGTTATACGATAGTGGTTTGGTGATGGAGCTTGGGAACTCTTAAGAGCTTAAAGCACCTTCATCTTTTTTTCTCTAGCCTCTAGTGCTCCTTCATGAAGAGAGTGACAGTCTTTTAGGAGTGGCATTCTTAGTAGATACTGCATGAATATGGATCACTCCATCAGATCAAAGAGTGACTCTCTTGTTCAAACGTAGTTTTATGAGCATTTGAATGCTTTAATAATGTCATAATTAAGTGATCTTAGGCTCGTTATATTTGTTTCATTGAGACGCTCGATTTAAATATAAACTTGTCATATTTGAGGTTATTTTGTCCCCCAAAGTATGTATTAAAGCTTCTATTGTGCTTTAATTACATGATTTGGGCTTACTTAGACTCAAATAGGACCATTTTTTATGTTATTTATTTTGTCTCCCTAAAACACTTTATTTGATCATAAATTGAAATGTGGGCATTTTTAAATTTAATTTTTAAAGCTTCTAACCCAAATTTGTGTCGAGATTCAAGCAAATTAATATGATTATTTAGGGATGTATCAAAATCTTAGTAATGAATGAAAGGTTATAGACATAGGCATGAAAGGTTCCGGACATAGTAGAGATCTCAAGGCGTAAAATGCTTATTAAGAAATTAATGTAAAAATTATTATGTATATTTACGTGTATTAATGTACAAATATCCTTCAACTCAAATTTGATGGATTCTAACTTCTAATTAGACCGATCTGCTCAAACTCTGGTTTGATATTAGCCTTAAGTGGTAGTGGTTACCCCTTAAGGCTAATATCAAGCCGAGTTTGTGCAAGTTAGCCTTTCATGAAGGTCAGATAGTTAATTTTATATTTGCAAATATAAAGTTAACAAGAGCTTAAATATAAACTCTTTAACTCTTACAGGCAACATCAATAGAAGGAAAGAAAACTGGAGTAATCACTGATTACATAATGAAGGTAGCTAAAATTATTTGACATACATAGAGAGATTTGATTATTTTTTGCAGAAACAAATCAAAATTACATGAAAAAAGTATTCAAGTTAGCCTTCCAATGTTACTGTATTTTGATAACAGATCCTGGGATTGGATATTTGTGCCGATACAATGATAGGAGATGAAATGATAAGAGGTATTTCTGGAGGACAGAAAAGGCGTGTCACCACAGGTAAAACATCAAATTTTATCAACTCTTGATGCAGAAGTTATGAGGAAAAATGGTTAAGCGAAATTTACATACGTATAACACAATTCTTATATATATATATATACATCTCTGTGTGTGCGCGCGCGCGCGCGTGTGCGTGTGCGTGTGTGCGTGTGTGCGTGTGCGTGTGCGTGTGCGCGTGCGTGTGCGCGTGTGCGTGTGTGCGTGCGTGTGTGTGTGTGCGTGCGCGTGTGTGTGTGTGCGTGTGTGTGTGTGTGTTGAATCCAAAACTGTCCTATGAGTATCCAAGGGATAGAGCACAGCAACCGAGGGAGAGAAAGGGAGAGAGAGAGAGGGGGAGAGAGAGAGAGAGAGAGAGAGAGAGAGAGAGAGAGAGAGAGAGAGAGAGAGAGAGAGAGAGAGAGAGAGAGAGAGAGAGAGAGAGAGAGAGAGAGAGAGAGAGAGAGAGAGATTTGTCATATTGAGGAGGGACGGAAAGAGACGTATTGCCAAGCTCCCCTTTTATTCATTAGAAAATAGAGGTTACAAAAAGGATGGAGAGAAAGTTTTCCCAACAATGGGGGTTGAGAGAGAAGAAACCCAAGGACCATTTAATACATGTCATGAGTCCTCTATTTGTAGAAGATAGAAGGAGAGAAATAAAGTACTATATTTTTACTCTTGCTTTAAGAAGAGTAGTATGGGGTATTTTCATCCATCAGAGCTTGATCCATTTTAAACTCGAGGGCAGGGGTAAATGCTTGGGTTTTGTGGGTCGACTGTTGTGTAATTTGTTGATCGAACGTTAATCATCATTTTCAGTCAAATTTAGATGATTTTTACTGATCAGACGTTTATTCACTGATGTCAGTTTAGAAAGTTTTTACCGATCAAACGCCATGCACCTTCAGTTTTACTGCTCAATTGAAATTATCATTAGCAGGATGATTCAAGTTCCTCGAGTGTCGGTCGAACTTTGACGATCCCTTGTGTGAACTCCTCAAGTTTCCAGAGTGTCTGTCAGATATTGGAACGTATGTGTAATTAAAATAATTTTACTTAGCCATTTTTATAAATTTCACAATAAAATACGAGAATTGGAGTGATAACACATTCTTATCGCCCAGTCGAGGTCTGGTCAGGGTATTGGGCCAGACTCCCTTAGCAGTACGCTTTGTCGGTCGCTCGATGATCTAAATTCCTTTATGAATCTCTGAGGTGAGCTTGAGGCGAGCAATAGAGATTGTCTCAGGTCCTGACTTTCTCTACGATCGCTTCTCTTTATAGGATGGTGGTTATCTTGTTCGATTCTGAATGATGTTAGGGAGTTGCATTCTTCTACTATTATATGACTGTTTGATAGTTCCAATAACTTAGTGTCTTCTGTCGTTGCAGACCAAAAGCATAGCAAAAAGGTCTTTCCTTTAGCCCTGATGTTAGGATGGAATGAGCAACTATGGACTCTAGATCTCACACTTCCAACAATTTCTTTAGAAAGCATATGATGAACAAACTAAGACTCCCACTTTGCCTTTGTTGAATCTACGGGAGAGCTTGAGAACCTTTTTGCAGCTTTTGGGCGTAGGCAAATTGCACCACAAATATTTTCTTTAAATCAGCAAAGAATGCAATTACTCCTGATGGTGATGCATTGATACTTGAGGACTGACGCCCTTGGCTTAGCGAAGAAAAGGAGAAACTTCAATGCATTGGTAATCATCAACAAACACACAGTTGACTCGAATAAAGCAATGTAGCCAGTTAAATCAGTTTTGCCCCTCCAGGGTTACAATGTAGAAACCTTGAACCTCTATGGAAGCTTGGCCTCATGGATTTTCCGAAAGAAAGTATTCGCTGGCCATTGGAACATTCAGCATGCCTAAACCAATGCTTGTATATCGCTTGCCCAGCACTATTGATGTATTGGAAGTCTTTCTCTTTTAAGGGCTAAGGAAGCCTTTCGGCTTTTGGATGTCGGCCCTTCCACTCAGGGATACTGCTCCCTTCTCCAATCTAATGCCTCTCAGATGGCATCAAACATTTGCTCATTCAGCTTTTGTATCTGTCGGTTAAAAAAATTTCTTGTGAACTCCATATAATTAATGTCTCTGTTATGAGTTTCTTCTCCTTGTGTGGCTTCTCTTCTAGTTCGTGGCATGATCAAGGCTCAACGTACCTTATAGGATATTGAATTCTTATTTGTTAGTGAATCACACCCACGAAATAAAGTATATGAAAGAAAAGAGAGAGAGAAAAAGACAGAGAGGGGAGTGAACAATGGTGATTAGTAAAATGTCTTGTCTATTCTTTTATTCATGAAATGATCTCTCTACTTATAAGAAAGATGATACATTATAGTGATATTATATTTTTGCTCATGCTTTAATGAGGATTGGATAGGATATTATGTGTGTGTTTATCTACCGGCTACTCTTCTGACTCGGTTGGCTAAGCTTTGTTTCGCCTTAGCTCAGTGAGGTCAACCCAGTCAACTAGGTTGAGTCTGTGTTACCCATTGGCTGAGCTTGATTAACTTAGAGTCGGCAGGATTGGCTTTGTCAGCTAGGCTTTTCCGATCGATTGATCTAGTCTTGTTATCAACCCTGGATCGTTGGATGACGAGCTCTCATCAACAGAACTAGACTAGAATATCGAGCTTGGTTAATCATCATAACCCAATAGATAGCTCATTTCTAAACGAAGGGATCTTTTGAAATTATTATAAGGCTCTGTTGTATTGTTAATTCTTGGTTCCTGATGAGGAGCCTTAAGAGCGTCCATGTGACGATTGATGATATTGAGCAATTGGATTATTTCAATAAGTCATACCTACTAGAATGAAGGTCAATGGCTCTGTTCAACTTAGCGTCAAATGCTTATATGTTTTAATTTAGTTAGATTAGTTTGAACTCGAATCTTTCAATCATTTTTTTTTCCTTCTCGAACTCCATCGTATTTCGACCTTAACTCGGTGTCTACAACTGTTCCAATAAGTGGACAGTTTGGTCTTCTATTGGTGGACCTTCTTCTATTATGATTCCTCCCTTTTAAATGTTGGATCTTCTCAGGATCCGCCCTAGCACATTTTTTATGTATAAACACCAATCTTGAAAATTTCTGGTCTGCCATCACATGAAAACTGCAATTCAAGCCCTTTAAATAATTCTATTTCTATAGAAAAGAGGTGTAAATGATTATAGTTTGCATCAAACATAATAAAATTATTTCCACTAATCTCAACCCAATGACTATAAATTATAGATTTGTGCTAAAAAAAAATATTTATCTATGCATGAAGCTTTCATACAAGGCAAAAAAACACTAAGACAATTTTGCATAAACACCACTCAATTTTTATGCATTTACATATCTAACATTTAAAATATAATTTTTACATATATTACCCCCTTGACCCTGCATCACTTCTTAAAATTTTAAATAGTGATACATTTGAAGCGGATGAAAATGCAAAGTGTTTTTTTTTAATTATTATTTATTATTATTATCATTATTATTATTTTTGTGACGTTAAATCCTTCATTCGATAAATTGTTTTCTAGCTTCCAATATAATCCATTAAATACCTTTTTACAGTCATTCTGCCCCATCTTCGCATCACTTTCACCCTTCTGCTGATACTTGCATTCCAGCTTGACCTCCAAAGCAAATATTAATTGCCTTTAACTTTACCAAGCATGTCAGTTAAATAAAAATCATTTATTTTTTTCATACACAATCAGGTTTTAACAGACTGCAAAAAAACAAGAATCCAAGAATCATTATTTTCTCAATTTTTTTTTTTTTTTCTATAATCACAAGCATGGAAAAAGAATACTAAAGTTCATTTTTCTTTTATCACCGTAGCCAAATTGCCTTCAGGTAGATCAGGTCAGGCTTCAAGAAATTAATAAAATAGAATTTTGAACTAAACCTGCCCTAACAGTTCAAACCTTCTAGAAAGAATAGGAGATCCGCCGCACTCAGTTTCTCCCCAGGTCAAGTAGGCAAATTCAGCCACAACCTTCCCAGCACTCCCTCATCCACTCGCCTTGTATGTCTACATTCTATACAGAATAAATGATTTATTTAATTACGTGTTACTGCTCACTAAATGGCTCCCATTACTGGCCTGAAAAAGGGGGGCTTTCTGCAATCATATGTAATGGAGTTTAATTCTTATGTAATTAAATCAGGCCATTCTGATCTCCGATTAGTCACTTTTTCTTTTTCTTTTTTTTCTTCCAAGGTTGTGCTTTAACTTTTTGACGAAGGGTGAGTTGGGCCACAAGCCCCATTTTTCAGATTCTTGAGGATTTTTAGTTTTATTATTAAGATGGATTTGGGGTGGTTTGGCTCTGGTTATAACTTTACTGCAAAGTCATTTTCATTTGCTCTCCTGTACAAGAGAGCTGAAGCTTCAACCCTGTGGAGGAAAAAAGAACCCATGTCAGTGTGGGAGATTATATATATATACACTAACGGGATGGACAGTTCAGTATTAGTGAAAAACAAGTAACGGTAATTGAGCATTTAAGCGGAACATCTCTCACCAGCCGGGATGGACCACAAATCTTCCCGTGGATAAAGCCCAGTTCACCTGTGAATAACATGGGGAATGAGAAGGGTTTTTTCATGGGCAACACCCGAAATTCTCTTTATCAACATTAGCTGGTAAATTTTTAAATAAGAAGCGCCAAAGTAGTACAATATTCGTGAATACAACAAATGATTCATATTTTAACAGCAATTAACAACATTAGTCAAGGCTTTGATAAATGGACCGGGCATCAAACCGGAAGGAAAAAAGTTCAAGGCTCATTGGTTCGATAGGGGTTAAACCGGGACGATATTATAAATATAAAAATTAATTAAATATGATATAAATGACATAATAATAATAATATAGTACATGCAAATATTAATTAAAAAGCGATCAAAATTGCTTTATAAAACATAAAACACAAATAAAAATAAATTCAATAATTCTAAATATGAGAATATTTAATATTGGAATGATCATCCCAAACATACATTACAATTTGAAATAAAAATATAAAATAGTTCTCATAGTCCTTTCTTTCACCAAATCTTTCATGAAAAAGAATGCAATACTGCAGTCGGTTCGACCTCAGTTATCACCGGTCGGTCCAATTCCGATTATTCAAAATCCAGTTATCAAGTTTCCAGACCGGCTACCAATTCGGTCCGGTTTTAACAACATTGGCATTAGTAGCCCAAAGGTGTTAGCTTTGGGGGTGATGAAGAAATTTTTTTTTTTGTAAGTGTAGCGCTAAAAACATAATTTATTGTTGCACAAATAATTCTTTAAAATGACATGCATGCCATCTTAATCTATGCCTTTTGACTGATGCACCATCAATGCTCGTTACCTTATTCTAATTTTAAATGAGTTAATAAGAGTAGTGTTAAGTTAACTTGAAGATGAAAGATCATTTAAAAATCAAATCAAGTGTTACATTGGCCAACCTATAATTAATATTCAGATGAATAAAATACATATGTAGGTACATATGTACGTGTGTGCAAATAATTTCTCACAAGAATAAAAAGTTAATCCAAATTGAGTCATTTTTTTGTTCAAATTGAAGTTAATGAGCCATGCCCGACTCAATTTGAGATGAGATCAAATAATTTTGAATCAATCTGATGATTCTAGCATATCAGATCAGTTCTCTGAGGTCTCTACCGAATAGATCCAAACTATACCGTCTTTATGGTAATTCTACAATGAAGATGAATTTAAGGATTATTCTTTCAAAATTAATAAAATATTCTATTTGAGTTTTCATCCGTTTAAAAGTACACTAGTAAAAATCCCAAGGTTTAGATGTTAATATAAGAAAACATAGTGGTGATTTAGAAAAAGATGTCATTTTACCTTATCGGTTCCAAGAGAATTGGCAACCACATGAGTGACCTGCTCATCAATCTGGTTAGTGCATATGCCACCAAACTGCTCCGCAGTTTGCCAAAGGGGGTGAAAATGAGGATTGGCTTCACCCACCGGAAATATCCGGCTAAAGACAATCTTGCATCCTGCAAGTATCTTTCGCTGCTCTGTTGCAAGTATATGCCTCACATCAACATCATTTAGGCAGTTGTGCGAAAAGAAGATTTGGTGAATTTTCTCTATGACCTGATTCATTGCAAAAGAATCAAAAGATCTGGCACAATTGTAAAAGTAAAAGAATATGAAAGCAATAATATTAGCATCCACTCGAAGGCTTTGCAAAGAATTCTACCGCTAAACAAGAAGCAAGAGTTCCATCTTCGGGCCTCTCATCGTGATCAATCTCAAGAAGTGAAGGCCCAAGAAGCCCAAACTGCCGTCTACTACATGGAAAATAAGTATATCTGCAAAAGGTTTTAAGCAAATAAACGCTCAATAAAGTCAAAATTAATAAATAAAAAATGGCAGATAATGACATATCATAGAATGGCACCTCTCCACAACAATCAGGTTGTGCCTATTATGCGGCCAGACACGGACGGAATCATCTATGATCACCACAGCAGACTCCAAACCTAAAACTCCATCTAAATCCTTGCTTTTGGGTACCCTCTCATCACCATCAAATGGTTCGCCATCATCTCCCCTAGAAATCACCCGTCCAGCAAACAAGGTCCCTGTTGGATCAAGTACTTTTGCCATCTCAGTAGCATATAACTTGTTGCCCATTGTGTACAAATGGAGCTCAAAAATCTTACTAGCCTGCATCCATAAGCAAACTTTAATAAAATTTCTCGAAAGAATATAAATAAACTCAGTAATTCACACAAACATTACCTTCTCCAAAAAGTTCCACACACCGGGCCTCAATTTGGTCCACATAGCCATGTGTTGGAAACGGAAAAGATGTCTCTGCAGCTGTTCCCGGTCTTGCTCCTCCTTCTTTCTCAAAATCTCTTCATGAACTTGCTCAACTTCTCCAAACTTGATATAAAGAAATGCACATCATTAAAGTGAATCAAAAAGTTTATATTACAATTAAACTGAACAATGCAGTAATGTACCTTGGCAGAGTTGAGGAGGGTGTGATCTAGATCGAGTACCAGACAAAGTTTCCGGGCGGCAAACATTTTGTTCTGTTCAGCTATCCTTCTTGTCCTTTCTTTCTGGATGACAGCTTTTTGCTGGTCATCATATCCACTCAAAAGGTGATCCACATCTCCCCATGGATTTGCTGCTTGAGAGGCATCTCTTGTGCCTGTTTGAGAGGAAGAACCATTTCCAACTTTAGAATCATTGGACTCCATAATAATTCTTCCATCTGATCTATTTGCCATGCCTAAGAATGGTTGTGAAATATCTGGGGGACCAGATGTTGAAGCAATAATAGTTAATTTAGAGGACATATTATCAGCAACATTCTTAAGATTCTTCGTGAACTGCTGATTATAATTAGGGATCTGTGATTGCTCTCCCATGTCTCTGTCAGTAATCTTGTCCTTGTTGGTTTGGGAACTAGAAGGCATGGGACCTATTTTGTTTTGTTCAGGAACTGAACCATCGGGCTTTTGGATGACGTTATCATGTAGAATGCGACGAGGATCACGAGGTTTCATCCGAAGTCTACCCGCATCATTCTGGGGTTTCTGTCAGTATTAAGCAGTCAAAAAATAGATATATAAATGGGTTAATACATAATATCTTAAGATAGACTAGCTACCAAGAAAAATGAAGTTCGCTGATGCTGCCAAAACACACACACACACACATATAAATACACATTATTTAGCTCCATGGGAGTGAAATACATAGCGATGAAAAAGTATGCCGTAATGGAAAAATACAAATTAAGTGGAAAAACAGACATTTTTTTGTAAAAAATTGCAATGAACAACCCAATCAGATGTTATCAAGATAAAAAAACTGTAATTCTAAAATTAAAAGGATAAATTAATATACGAACGTAAAACAAAGCAAAACAAAACATATGTGCAACACATTTTTTGCGCAAGGTTACACTTTCTATTTAAAGTTGAAAGCAGCACACAACATGCATGAGATGCTGTCATGAAAGAACAAAAACTCAAGTAGCTGCCATGTAAGGTGTTGCCTTGCATCAGGCACTCGGTAGTCAATGAAAAAAAAAAACAATAAGCAAGCAATCAGCAAAGCTCACCGAGGTTGCACTCTGTGCAGAAATCTGAGGTTTGGATGAAGAATTTTGTTCAACCTCCTTTGTCTTCAATGCAACATCATTTACTGAGGAAATACTACCAGGCAATCCACTGGAACCATTCAATCGTACCGCAGTTCCTGCAGAAATACCAGCTTTCTGCTGGGATTCTGCTGCTAAACTCTGCTGCTTTATCTTAAGTAGTTCCATAAGAATCTCAGGACTTATATCCATCTCCTTCAATAAAGAAGGCAAAGAAATAGAAGGAACAGAGCTAATTGCAGGATTCTGATCATTTCCAGGATTTGCATCAATGGAATTGCCATTAGTACCAGGTCTAGAGTCAGCTGCAGCTGATGCTGTTGCATTTCCAGGTTTGTTGATCATTTCAGGAACCACACGACTCACATTCATAGGCATATCTGTGAGTGTAATGGATGAATACCTTTGCCTTTTCAAGGGATGGTCTTCCTGCCTGATAGCATCTGCGGCTTTGTGCTTTTTATCATTTGTTATCCCTTCTATACGCCCAGTTCTGGACAGATCCTGATCAGATGAAACGCCTATATTAGGGTTAATAACTCGAAGTCTAGGATCCCTACTTTTAGCCTTTGCAACTTGGGTTTGCAGGGAATTCAACTGCCCTGCCATCTTATTAGGAGCAGTAGGGACAAAGCTGCTACCAGATCCTGAAGTCTTCAACAAACTGGAGCCCTCTGCTGATTTAACACTACCAACAACAAGAGAACTAGAGATTTCATCAAGCTTCTCATCTTCATTGCTGCACTCCTCGGAAGGAGTGGGGCTTGGCAGCTCATTACTAGGAAGAATAGAGGTCCGTCCATATTTCTGCTGGTAAGAGGAAACTGCTTTAACGGCATCATTCATATAAGAATGCAAAGGTGTGTCATCCTTTTCCTCTTTCTTGAAAACTGTTGGATGAGATAGAACAGATGTAGCTAAACCAACTGGTTTCATTATCGGTAAAGGTGGTGCATTGTCTCGCGTGGGTGAAGGCAGGCTGCCTTCCTCGTAGTCAGCATGAAGGTCAAGCAAAGGGCTAAATTCAACTCTACTTCTAGTTAACGGAAGCTGAAACTTGGGCAAGAAAAATCCTCTGCTGTGGCTGCCACTTAGATCAGTCTCCCTTAGACCCAAATCCGGTTTTTGTGCAGAAGCAATAAAAGAGGCTGAAGGTCTTTCAGGTTGGTGGGAAGAATCACTGCTATTAGCTGAACTCCCACTTTGTAATACTTTCTCTTTGCTAACATCACTGGAAAGTAATAACTGAGCCATCGAATCTATCTGTAACAAAGGAAACTGAACTTCAACTTCTTGTAGACTGCAATTTGGGGAATAAAAGTTTAGCCATAAAAACCGATAACAGACCTCTGTGACTTGATCTTGGGTCAGCAACAAAGAGTACTGATTTTTTATATGAATTAATAACCTAAAAATGAAAAAACCAAGGTTTATTATCAACAAAGATTACTAGGATGATTAAAATTTGAAGAAAGGAAAGTTCACAACAACACAAAAACCTTAGTAATAAATCCATATTCTGCTTTGTTTTCTTCACATTCCCCGAACAAAAAACCTGCGATATCAATTTAATTGTAATTCAGTGAGCTTTAAACAGGAAAGAAAAGCAAAAAGCTAGGGATCAAAGTTCAGATAATTTTACAGAGTTAAGTGTTTGAATCCCCATAAATGCATGCTGAACAAGAGCATCTAGAATGGGAACATGGCTCTCTGCAAACAAAGTTTTCAATCCTGCAAAAGACTTCAACAGCCGGGAACAAGCGGCCTCCAAAGATCTAGATAGCAGAATAGAACCAGTTCAGAAAACCTTCTAAGTTTAAAAGTTTAAATTCAGAGTTTTCATTTTTTGTTATATGTCTGAGATCACACAGTTATAATTTAATCTTAGATTATAATTTGTAATGACATTCCGAGTTCTATTGTTGGACTTTCTTCTTTAATGCTTAACACTTACGCCTCTGCTTCCTCCGAAGTTATAGCTTCCAATTCTTCCAATATTTCGGCAACACGTCTATCCAAGTCTTCCATATCAGCTTCTTCCTTATCTTCATTTTCCTTGGTGTCTGCCGCCGGCAGTTTCGAATCATCTTCTATTTTATCTGAAGAGAGATTTATCATTTCCTCGGCCACTGGTTCATAGTCCAAATCAATCTCGCCCTCCTCTAATTCCCCTTCCTCCTTCTCCATCTCGCCAACCGAATCCTCACTGCTATCTACAAAAACCGCATCGAAACCACCCTCCTTTCCTCTTTTCCCATCAGCATCATTCGCTCGCTTCATCTCCAGACCAAGAGGCTTATTCTGAACTGCCTGAGCCCACGCAAAGCTGTATAGAGTAGGACCAAAGGTACGGGCGACAGAATAACCCATCATGCCGTCATCCCAAACCCTAGATCTCGATCCCCTTCCGTCTTGCCTAAAATCCTCAGCGGAGATCTCTTCCAGCGACGCCGACGAATCTCCGTCCGAAATCTCTCCATTATCTACGCCATTCACGTGGGAGCCGTTCCTCGCCATCCGAGCCAGGGTTTTCTTCTCGCTAGGGTTCAGTACGAAACGGCTGGATCTGGGCATGCGCATATAATCGATGGTGGAAGAAAGACAATATCTACAAAACACCGCCACCCAAACCGTCAAATTCTAAGTTTATATGGGTTGTTCAAGCGAGTCCCGTGATGCTAGGATTAAATCGCTTGATCCGAAACCGCTATTTAATCGATAGCGTGCTCGATATGAAGGGCTCTGCAAGAAGAATCGATTTGCTGTGATTTAGATCGAAAAACTTAGTTCTTTCGACTGGATTTCGTCGAGAAGAATCTCCGAGGAATCAGACAGGGTAGAAGAGAGGCGGGCATGGAAGAGAGAAGCCGGGATGACCAAAGAAATCTCGGGAACCAGAAGGGCAGGTTGTGCCAAGTTTTAATTTAATGGCCTCGTTTTTAATCTGAACCGTACGTGCAATCTGAAAGTGCAGCTCCTCGCCGTTGATTCGTCGGTCAGGTTGCTTTGGAATCTAATTTTGAATTCTTCCGTGCCTCTCGAGGTTCGAGTCCGTGGAACGTGATCTGGATCCAATTTCCTTTGCCGTTTTATATTTGAATCATATTGATTTTTCATTACCTATTGCAAGAAGTATAAATGGAAATTCATATATGTATCACCTAATTTTAGGCATTAGATGTATAAATGCAAAAGAATTGTGGGGTGTGCATGGAAATGCCCTAAACTTGAAAATGGTTTCTTCTTTGCTCCTTATGACCATTGGGATACAATTATTATTTGGGGCATTTAAATACATTGCACCTCAATTCTCATGCATTTACATGTCTCACATCTAAACTTTCACATTTATACTAGTAGGGCACGCATCTTTAATATCATATTGAAAATAATACTATTTTTATTTTTTGATGAAAAATTCAGCTTTTCATGTCAAGGTTTAAAGCACCAAAGTGATATGTATGTCAAAGTAAAAGTTTAGAAGTAAGATATGAAAATAAGTAAAAATTGTGTTAGTAAATTTCCTTTTTTATTTTTTCTATCATAGAAAGTATATGATATCGTACGACAAAAAGGTTTTTTATCGTATTTTTCGTGGATCTGACGGCTTGGAATAAGGCACGTGATGAAAGATGAATCTCATGAAAGTAATATAGGGGTCCTAGAAACAAAGATAATTGAGCAATAGTGGTTGATTGGCTATAGGTCTACGTGTTGACTGACTCAAAGGCAGCCTAAACAGGGGTCGATAGAAAAGATGGCGACTCACTAGGTGTTCGTCGATCGAGCGTCGACTAACCTGAACTCGATTGATTAGGGGTCAGCTAGCTTACTAAAGAGGATCAAGAGTATAATTATAATTTCACAATAATTCTACCCTCATATAAATAGACGAGCATTGAATGTAAGTTATTGAAACCCATAAACAAAATATCTAATTTCAATATATATACCCTCTCCTTTTACGCTCAATTCATTGGGTGTAATTCATGGACAAATATGAGTTCAACACTCTAAAACGTATGGTGAGCATGGACCATGTCACAAACAAGAAGATGAGCAACTCAAGGAGAAGAACCACAACATAAAGAGACCTCAAATAACATGGATTGCACCCAATAATTTGTGTCTCAGCAAATCAACAATCTCAAAGAAAAGATGATGGAGATGATCAATGGTGCACTGGCCCAAGAAAGAGCACAACCACTTTGACAGCTAAATATTTGCCACCGCAGGGAGCATCAGAACTGAATGGTAGAAAGTTTTGTCCGGCCCTAGAGGAAGAGAACGACATCCATTGCCTCGACAGCACTTGATCGGAGTCACTCAACCGCTAGAGATACCAGTGCATTGAAGCAGCATGATTCCCGCAGCCGAAGAACGTTTCCTCCAGGCAATTTTATGATGTTGAGCCCCCTGAGCATTTCAAGATTCCAGCCTTAAAATCTTGATAAGAATGGTTATACCTAGCTGACCATATTGTCTCTTTTGATTCAATCATTTTCTTGCTCAGGATAAATGACACATTAAAAAATGACTACTTTTTATGACCTTAAGGGAGTCGACCCTCTGGTGGTTCAATGACCTACCATTAAGGGTGATCACCTCATTTGCAGACTTCAAAAGAATGTTTGTTGCTCAGTTTGCTAGCTTGCAGAAGCCCCGCAAAAGCTCACATGTGCCCTTACAATTGTGATAGGGGCAGAGCAATTCCCTACGTGCCTTTATCACATGCTTTCAGAAGGAGATGTTGAAATTCGTGAATTGGAACCTACAGGCGCCTGTGTTGCCCTCGCTCAAGGGCTAAAAATTAGCTCGTTCCATTATACATTGGGGTTGCCGCACCCTAAAATATTGGCAAGTTACTGGAGCTCACCAACAATTACATATCAATAGAAGAGTTTTCCAAAATAGAGCAACTCAATCGACATCCTCCAAAGAGAAGCGCCCACAAAAAAAGTTTGGAGACCAAAATATAACCCTTGCATGCCAACTAAGACTCATTTGGAAGATCCATAACTAAAGCACCAGACAGAAGAATTCATCCTCAAGAAGACCAAACCCAAAATCTTGAACAATGGTGAGACTATCACATAGAGAGAAGACCACCTCTAGCCCACACAAGCCATCCAAAATATTAAGTGCTTCAAGAAGGCACCACCAATGAAGGTTGGAGGCTATCTTCAAGATCCCAAGATATAATGTATATACCACCGCGACTACGAACACAACATATAGGAATGCTGACACCTCTAGAACCTGATCAAAGAGCTGTTCAAGTCCAGAAAGTTCAAGGAGTTTGTGGCACCTAGAGCAATCACTCAAAGATAGGGGAAAACCTGTGACATGCATCAATTTTACATGCATTTACCTGCATTTTTCTCTCTATTTTATATATTTTTTTACTTATTTATCATAGATTTATACTCGAGAAATTTTTTTTTTATATTGTATAGGGTATATGCGTCAAACACACAAAATGGGATCAAAACGCTCCATATAATACAGTTCAGAGTGACCACGTCTTATATCGGTGTGACCGTGCCAAATTTGGGCATGACCGTGCTAGAACTAGCGTGATTACGCCAGGATTTGGCATGACCATGCCGTCGAATGTCCAGAACTCGTATTTGTGGGATGTCTTATTGATTTTGAATATATTAAATGATTTAGAGAGTCTGGATGTCCATTTTGGATTTTTAATATAAAACCTAAATATAAATATGTTTTATGTCATGAGAGAGGTCTTCTTGGCCACTTGGAGGCTTGAAAAAAGAGTTCTACATCAGAGAGGGCTTGAAGGCTAAAAGAAGAAAGTTAGGGAGAGATTTTGAGGGCTTGCTTGAAGGTTGTCTTTATACTTTGATGGAAACCAGAGAGTGAGAGTTTTTTCTTTGTTTTGTGAATCGTGAGTGTTTTTATGAGAGGGAATGATGCTCACTTTGCAGAGAAAAAAATTTTTTGTAAGTTTTTCATATCTTTGTTGCTTGCAATGGATTCCTGCATGATGATGTTCATTATGGTTTTCTCTGTCATGAGTGACTAAAATTTTCTCTGTGTCTCTATGATGCAGGAAGTAGTGGATTTATCATAGTTTTCCCATAATGTTTTTCTATTAAGCATACTCTTCGAGCTTTTATAGGTTTTGTTGTTGGTTAACCTCCGATCTAAATTTACTCCAATTCTGGCTAATTAGGATGTTAAAATATTTTGTGAACTATGACCTCTAACCGTTGCATAGTGAAAATAAAGGGTTAACCACAAAATTCCAAGAGAATAAGCATATTCCATTAGAATTATGTAAGGTTTTCAGAGGATCGGAAAGTCATGCGGAATGCAATGGGGATTGAGAAAGCCTCAACTTCATAGATTCTAGGTTTTTTTTTACCTAGAGATAGACATAATGTGCACTATGTTCCTAATTGACAACAATCAAAAATGAAAACATTTAGGAAAAAACACGATCGACACGATCCCCGAATCACAGAGGCACGAGTCTCGTCTATTTAAGGAAAAAACAAAGAGTTGTTGGTTAGAGAGGATCATAGGTATAACTATTTTTTCATGATAATTCTAAACTCTTATAAATAGAGGAGCATTAAATATATTAGTGGTTGTTGAAACCTAATGCAAATATATCATTTTCGAGATCTTACTCGAATAAATCTGGGTTCAATATCTATATCTAGATATATATATATATATATATATATATATTTAAACTATATGTTCGTTGGAAATATTTAAAATTTTAACATGTTTTAAACAAGAGAGAACTATCCGGTGGAGGGATACAAATAAGAGGTTTTTACATACCTATCACCTAAAGGCTAAAACACAAGGATTTACACTCCAAACATTTAAACTATAATATTCACAAATAAACACCCAAAACCTATACCTCACTCATATTTTCCGCTCTTTATTAAAATTGTTTGCTCGTCATTGTCATCTCACTTGTCTCCTTTAATTCAGACACCTCTATTTTGACTTTTTCCATCTCTGAATGTTTCAAGTGACAATCAAGATGCCTGGATGAGATTTCTTTGGTCTGATGTCACCAAAAAAACTATAACATCATCTCTCTCGGAAGTTGTTAATGATCAGCGTGATGGAATGGATGAAATTTTTTTTCAAGCAATAGGTTGGAGATGGGAAGAGGTATTTCGTGCTAAAAAAACTCACATGTCAAAACAACCATGGCATCTAGTGGGATTTTCGCTCCTAAAAGGCTGCATTGACATGACACCACATTTTTTGATTTGTCAGTGCGATAAAAAAGGAAATAAATCATATAACCTTAATTAAAAATATAATCTAATCTAAATAAAATATGTTTAAAAATTTCTTAAAAATGAAATTATTTTTAATATTATCAATTAAAAATCTTAAATAATCAAAGAAATACATTTTTATGTAAACTTCATGAACAAGCTCATTAAGAAGTTCCATCAAAACTCGACGTTGACATGAGGCCATATATAAGTTATAACTATAATTATAATTTAATTTAAATAAAATAAGATTAAAAACTAATTTAAAATTTAAATAGTTTTATAGTATTAATATAATATAAAATTAATTAAATTCACATAAATTTCTTAAAACTACAACTTTCTATTTTGGGAGAAATTAAAACAGGTTAATTGGATCTTCCCTCCTAAAAGACTGCCTTGCCATTACACCACACTTGTTGGATTAGTCATTGCAATAGAAAATAAAATAAATCAGATAACCGTAATTAAAAATATAATATAATCTAAATAAATAATGATTAAAAATTTCTTCAAAATGAAATTGATTTTATATCATTAATTAAATAATTTAAATAATAAATGAAATAAATTTTCATTTAAAGCTCATGAACAAGTTCATTAAGAGGTTCCATTAAAACTTGATGTTGACTTAAAGCCAAACATAAG